GAGTCCGATGCCCTTCAAGAGCCTCTCGCTCTGAATCAGATAGTGCCAGGTGCTCCAGAGCCGCACTATTGCCCGAGGACATACGAAGGCAAATGTGACAACTGTGACAAATCCCTGTGAAAGTAGCTGTGAAAGTAGCTGTGAAAGTAGCTGTGAAAGTGAGTGAGTCGATCGACAGTGCATCATCATTTTTCAGTCATTAGAATTATATCTTTACTTGTCATCATTTTTCATTATAACCTTATATTGTCCACATGTATGCATTTACTCCGAAGAAATGTTTGCTTGACATATCTGTGCGACATTTCTGTCATGGGTCTGAGTCGGAAAATGGCAAACATTGTCAATGTCAGATGTCTCATGCATCAAACACTTCAATGAAAGACTCTCTGAACAAATTAAAGTCTTCACTTTGCTAGTTCAGTGAGCTGTTGTATTAACTAATCATCATGTCCCAGATTGGTGATCCGACTTGAGCTTGGCACCACTAACCAAGAACTGGCAGAGAAGACAATGTATAGACCTTGATCAGCCTGGCAGCAGATTCCGAAAGAACTGTATGGAACAAAGTGGAAACCATTTATTAAACTATGGAGCTACTTGGATATGTCATATTGAACAGCAGTAGCCAATATCTAACTAAAATAAATGCCATAAGCTTGTGGACACATGTCACAGTCACAAGTCTCATAAGACCACACCTCATTGGTAAGAGCCTGGGCACAAGAATAAGTTTGATACAAGTTCAGACCCAGTGAATCAGTGAATGAGAAATGACACAAGTAACACGTAACTAAACATCATCATTCACTGGATTCTTGACTGAGCTCTCCACATCTCCAAATAGTTCCACACCTTGGCCAGCAGGAACTTAAACATGTGCGACATATATAAAATAAAACTGCTGAAAGATCTTGACATCAAGTGCATATTCAGACAAAAGTTCGGAACAACATTGAATCACAAGTGTGTCTTTGCTTCGTCCTGTTTTTTTCTCCATCTGATCCCCTGACAATTGCTCATGCCTCACAGTCTGTCGCTACTATCGACCACACACAGACAAACTAGGCATAATTAACTTGGCACCATTGGTGCAACATGACATGTGTCTAACAAAAATATCACCATTTTCAGTGACATTTGACACAGTCACAGCACATAGCAAAGTACATATGTGCAATATACAAAAGGACATTAGACGCAATCATCTTCCACCACTTGAGTGTCATCCCAATCATCACCATATTGAGGTACAGTTTGAGGAATCTCATCATCACCATCATGACAACGGAAATCATCAGGTGGCTCAACCTGGGAATCTGTAACCCACTCACCATGACACATGTGACCACCAGGAACTGGAGAATTCTGAGACCCCACTGGCTCTGACACATCTGCACCCTTCTCCTCAAGAAACGCATTCGACCTTCTGAGCGACTTGCACGGCGACTGGAACGAGGGACAAGTCTTCCTCTTACCCTTGCCCTCAAGAGTGCCAAACACTTGTACAGATTTGTTCGGGCCACGCATAGTGATGGTAATATTCCATGGTCCATCCTGATGACAAGAGTTCAGAAACAAATTGAACTCTACAATGATATTGTGGGGAATCTACTGACATATGAGTTTCGACATTGGGCATCCACAAAAACAAAATTATTGTCTTAGATGCAGCATGTGCTAAATGAAAAAAATGAAATATTGTCACTGACGAACATCAGACCAGGGACAGGCAGCGGCTCAGCATCACTGACAAGACATCTGTACTCACCTGTGCGCCACTTGAGGACATCCATGACACTTGTCCCCGTCACCTTTTCCCAACCCTTCTGCGTGTCCCCCTTGGAAAGAAGATCAACTGTCGCCATGAGACACAGCTGACAAATGTAACAAATGATCTGGGGACAAATGATTTGTGGTGAACTGCGCCTGGGCCACAAAGATAACGCAGGACATAACAAGTGCTGCAAGAATATGTTGGTATAACAAGTGAGGACCATGATAACTGGTGTCAAACAAGGCATCAGCTCCTAGTGAAGTTGAGCGTTCCCAATATTGAGGCCTGCACTGCTCCACACACCCACAGAGCACCTGGCACACGCTTGGCTAGTGACAGACACATGCGTACACTGGAACTACTGGAATGCAAGGGTTTGGATGACTTGCCAAGCTTTCATGATGATTTGATGTTCCGCCCTGCCCCCCTTGACTAACCCAAATTGAGTGAAACAAACTACCAGTAGTGTTTGAACACAGCACTCCAGATTGAAGCAGCAAAGACATATGTGATACTTGTACTAATTGCAGTACCTCTGACAGAACTGAACCCCTACCTTTTTTTCAGCTCAGGATTCGATTTTTCTGTGACCCACACATGACGCACATGACCAGGACAAATGATATAAATCAAAAAAGCCTTGACATCTGACACTTTGTTTGAATGCAGGTTTTTGAAGTTGAAAAACTAGCATCAAACCAAACTGGAGATGTCCCAGTATGTCAAATGTGACAATGGAAGACCTGAGCGTCAATGATGGACAAATGTCTCAGTACGGACAAATGTGTCAGCGCATATGCACGATCGGTGGAGCAGGTGCAACAGGAGGGACAACTCTATCCAAATCAGCAGGCTTCAAGTAGAGCCCCCATGCCTCCAACGACACTTGTCCTGCAGGGAGGCCATGCTGAGACATGGAAATTGCTGCCACTGCAACTTTTACAGTAGTTAGTTATCAAACTCCATCAAAGCTATTTTTTATCATGTCTCAAAACCCCAAAAACCAAACAATCACACATGTCATGTATCACCAAACAGTCACACATGTCATGTGTCCTAAATAAAAATACTGCTGCTGAGGGAAGGCACCTTGATGTACCAAAAACGTGTGCTCCTGGTTGTAGGACAACTGTACATGAAACAATTGTCCCCGATACGGGACAACTGTAGTCTGGCATGGGAGGCGCTCGTTCAGCCATGACACATGTGCACTTAAGCTGCGCCCCTGTGGTCGGCGCTGCGCCCCTGCCCAGTCCAATGCTCTCGAGGCGAGATAGTTGAAGGCAGTCCTAAGGGCAGAAAGCAGAATCAGAAATGTGACTGACTTATATTACTTAGAATCATGTTTGGATCCCTATGCCCCACTATAAATACCAAACACTCTTCAAGGAAGAGTTCAAGAAAACAAAAATGAATGAACAACAAGTCAGTCGCTCCAGACAAATGTGCCGCTTGGCCTCCTCCACATTGATGGCAAATGCTCCTGGGTCATAGTGCCTTAGACAAAAGTTTGTCCAGCAAGACCTGAACTCAAGTCATAACAAGTTATTTCTGAACTGAATGAAACTTTACAAATATCTCACAAATAATGTGTAAACACTTAAATTCAACATGCAGGAACATTGCGCAACTGCTTCAATTCAATATTCTATTTGATCAAAACATAAAACAAAATAAACAGAACCCAAGTTCAAAACGAGTGACGGCTTGTGGATTTGGCCCACAGCTTCAATCAAGAGGTTGTTGGACAAATGTACCGCCAATTGTAGCCCCCTTAGCCATCAAACAATTGTCATCAATGGCATCCCCATGAATAATTAAGAAACAACACCGATACCAAAAGAAAGACACAAGTAGTAGAAACATTTCACATTGAAAATCCACTCTCAAAATATAAAATGCTGATAAATAATAAACAAAAAACTCCCGAAGATCTTCTCGAGGAGTCGGGTTCGCACTTGCCATCTTGCGAACAACGAATTGGGTGCCCTCCTCACCCATCCCACACAGGTACTCAAACACAAGTTCTGTGGACACCTGTGAGTCCATTTGGCGTTCCACTTCACCAGGACGAGCCATGACAAATCACGACAAATGACGACAAATGACGACAAATGTCGAGTCAGCCGGGTCACAAAACAGCGAAGTCAAAACTCTCGGGACAGATGTCTGCGGTGATCAGCCAAGATATCAATTTTGAGTGGCAACTGCAATGATTAATGACTGGAATGAGAGGTAATTAAAACAGAATCCCTAAAATACAGACATGTGGGCAACTAGCCTAGAGAGTTGCCACAGAACCCATCCCAATGCCCAAGACAAGTCAGTAACACCTGTGTCAGTGACCTTCACGATGAAGAGGTGTTGATCAAGTTCATGACGAAGAGAAACCAAGAGCAGCAAAAGGGCAAGACGGTGGATAAGTAAGGAAAACAATGTAACTAGTAAGTATGTATTTTGTGGACACATGTCACCATTCCCCATGTCTGTATTGGGGATATGTTAATTTTGCATATGCATATGGGATAATCAACCAGAGGATATCAAATATTTCATTTTCATGTCATTCATATCATATGATATCATATGAATATATAGTTTTAAATAACATAAAGTCTCTGCAAACAAAATGTGGCAAAACAAAACTGTAGCTGCAAACAGTTGACTTGAAAAGAAAACAAACATGTGGGTGACGTGATCTTGTTCGATTAAGTCTTCTTATTCAAAACTTTTTTTCCTCAAAATTTCTCTTTTTCCCATGTTTTCTCATATTTTCCCATGTTTTCCCATGTTTTCCCATGTTTTCTCATTTTAAAACTCTTTATAACTCAAAATCTCTCAATATAACTCTTGAAAAAACCTACCCTATCCAGAACCCACCTAGGTCAAGGTAGCACATTACAATTGGTGAATAGTATAGGCGCTAGACAATACTGATTAGACACACTGAAGGTACGAATGATTCATCATGAACTGATGCTGAAGATATTAGTTTCAACCCGTTGAGCACCCCAAAAACAGGGACCAAGTCCAAGTCCCCGAGCAAAAGAGCTGTCTGTGTGTCTGTGTTCATTGATGGAAGGTAAAGAAGCCGTGGTTATAGGGGTGATCAATCCAAACTTTTGGTGGTTATTATTACCGTGGTCGTATGCCCCCAAAAAATCGCAGCCCCATCACCCCCAAGAACTCTTCAGTGTCCTCCCGCTGTATCCGCTGTGGCGCCATGGCTTTTCTATTGACACCTTTCTGTCGCTGTGCCGCCAGCCTTTCCAACGAAGCTCGGTGTGAAGATGCGGAGAACAACGACGTGACAATCCAAGATGGTGCCTGGGCCAACCGTTCGACACCGGAAGATGGAGCGTCCAAGGTTGTCCAAAGAGACCATACTGATATCTGATATCTCAGCTTTTATCTCTTGTGCCATCTTGTACCTCTGTTCATCACATTTATTCATGTTAATCTTATGTTCATTTTTTCCGTTGACCCAGGGACAATTCGTGAGATAATTAGTATTCTGAAACCGTGCCGTCATCACCCTACCCCCCAAAAAAGTATATGTCAACAAATCCTGGTTGATTCATCAGGGGGGTTCCCCGATTCTTGTGAACGTTTGCTACTACAGTGGGACCCCAATTTAATAGCCCAGAGGTGAAGAAGACATTGAGCTTGACATTACCCATACCTTTCTTTTTGTCCGCAGATGTTTTCGCTTCTTTGCTCAGCCAGCGCTGGTGGCTAGGGTTGCTTGTGATTCCTGGGAATATCCCCAAGATTCCCTGAGTGATATCTGACATAATCCCCTTCGCTTGATCACAGACTGATCATCTATGAGGAGATGCGTTGCCGGCCCTGCCGCCCTTAGAAGCACCGGAACACGAGGCACTGCGACGGAAATGGAGGGCTCGGCATGTACTTGTAAATATATATATATATAATTAAATAAAGACAGATATGAATAGATACTATATATATATATATGCATGAACGATGCACAGCCACACTGTTTTTGTTGACGGCATAGAAATAGGGAGTTCCAACACATATCTGTATCTGAAGAATAGCCAAACAAAAGCCGCTAGGGTTTTGAACTTTGGAGTGGATGAGCGCACAATGGTTTGGAGGGTTGAGTCATAGGAATCATCCCAACAGTTCTTTTCCTATTTGGCCTACGCCTACTTAATAAATCTTGATATGGCATATATTCAGGGATGAATAGCCAAACATCATGAACATTTGGCTTAGCTAATATCCAAGATTATGTTGGGGTATTTAGTGAGGCATTTATCCAAACATCATAAAATCATCTTCCCCATGGCCGTTCCAGGCCCTTGAAAAAACGGATGTGCCGGATGAAAAGGCAGCGGCTGGGTCTTCGGTTTACTTTGTTTCTCCATCTTTTATGTTCATCTTTGTGTGTTTGTATTCATATTCATGTTCATATTCAGATTTGAATTATTCATATTCATTTTCATCGTCGTCATCATCATCATCATCCTCATCATCATCCTCATCGTCATCGTCATCGTATTCGTCATCATCATCATCACCATCATCATCATCATCATCATTATCATTATCATCATCATCCTCATCCTCATCGTCATCGTCATTGTCATCGTCATCGTCATTGTCATCGTCATCACCATTACCATCATCATCATCATCATCATCATCACCATCATCATCATCATAGGCAAATATATGTGTATATATCTATATATAAACTACTCACTGTGTACATATACATTATATATATATATATTAAAATATTTACACACTGTGTACATACATATACACATATATATATATATACAGATTTATTTATTTATACGATAGTTATAGGTATGTATTGGCATATATATATATAGTGTATATAATGTAATATGTATGCATGCATCTCCACACACACACATATATAATATATATATATATATATATATTATATGTGTGTGTGCATATTCAGTGGATTTTCATAGCCTTGGATTTCAGGGCTGCGGCGTTGAGGCGTCCGATCACTCCACCGTGGACCCTTCCTCGCAGGACGCCGAACATCGACCCGATGAGCAGTTCAATGGGAGTATGCCAATAGCTGGATGGTTTATATTGAAAAAACCTGTTGGTTAATGGTGGTTAATGGTGGTTAATGGTGGCTAATAGTGTTTTCATGGTGTTTTTTTTTAATGGGATTAATGGAACTTACCCTCTGGTAATTTAACGTAGCTATTGAAAATGACCATAGAAAAAGTGGATTTTCCCATTAAAAATGGTGAGTTTCAATAGCTATGTTAAATTACCAGAGGGTAACATAATATGGGGGTTTCCATAAATGATCATAAATGGGCTTACCCATGGTACCCCAAAATGGAATAAAATGGATGGTTTCTAATGGAAAATCATTTTAAACGGGATGATTTGGGGGTACCCCTCTTTTAGGAAACCTCCAAGTGGAGCAGTAGATGTTTTTAGATGCGGTAAAGCATGGATTTTCGTGGATTCTCCATATCTACATGAATGAGCATGAATCTATGGCCAGAAAATTTAAACACACACACGTACATGATTTCCGTGTTGTCCACGGCATAGTCGAAACCCTTAACTGACCCCATGTTGGATTGACCCCGGAAGATCAATGAAACTGCCTTCCCTGTCGCGGGACACCCAGGTCTTACCGGAACAGGTTTCAGATATTCTTTGATTGGACAATCAATGAGTTAAGATATGTCCCGATGATGGATTTAATTTTTTTTCGATCAAAAACCATGGTCTCACACCAGGCATTTGAAGGTATCAGGGCTGGCCATTTGGAGCCAATGCTGCGACCAGGAGGGCCACTCGACGGAACCGAGTTCCCAGTCGGAAGAGAAGACGAAGGTAGTGGGCTGAGCATCCCTGATCAAGTTTGCAGGTTCCACTCCTTCAAAACCCTTAAGGCAGGTATCAATTTGCCCAAATTGAAGATGCGTTCACTTCACTTTTGGGTGTGAACCAACTGTCTTTACAAGTTGAAATATGATTATAAGACCACTACTTACCTAAAACATATATATATATATAGTTCGAAACATGTAAACAAATAATAGTCACACAAGTCAGCTACGTCCCACAAGCAGCGATCAGGAGCCAACCCCTTCAAGCGAAGCAAAGGATGAGGAGCTTGGAGTAGCACTGGGTTCCAGCCGATGCTCCAGTCGTTTTTAACATGTGACAAGGCCAAAAAGATCCAATACGCTATTGGGGTCTATCATAACCTATTCCCAACTAGTCTGTGATTTTTCATGGTGATCTAGTACTAAGATCTCTTGGTCTGGACTTGTCACAATGTTGTAAGGCTGATTTGTGTGGATCCCAATTTTGTGGCTGATCATCATGTTTCTTGTTTACCTCGGTGTTGGATTTTAGCCTGGGCCTCACCACCCTCCAGGCCTCCGAAAAGCCAGCGGAAGTAGCAGTTGCAGCCCCGCCAGAGAAGGTGCTGGTTGGTATTTTGTGGGTGGGAATGGCCAAGATGGTAAGGATGAGGATGAGGATGCCGACACATTTTGCTGGGATTTCATTTTTTGGGGTGTGTGTGGATGAGAGGGGGTTTTGCCATGTTGGACCATTGGAGGGTCAGGACCATGT